TGCATTTGTTCCTCAAAATTACCCTCCAGCCCCTGATCTCCATTCATCCAACTGCGGGCATCACACTCGAGTGCCAGCCGCACGTGGCTTTGACTCTTGAATTAAATTCCTTCCCCCACGGGACCCGGCTGGCACGGGCATTTCACATGTGTGAGGGCTCTCACTGCACGGTGCTGAGCAGATGGAGAACCCAGAGAGGGAAGAGAAGCAATAAAAATTCAGCTGGGGGTTCCCAGGTGCCGAGGGAAAACTGCACTGGTTCCTTCCTTCCCCTTTCCCCGTCCCTTTCCATTTAATTTTTCAGCCAGGTAATAATGGGCAAATGGGGATTTGCAGTTACGGGATGCAGGAATCAGTGAAACCTGCTCCCTTGGGCGGAGGAAAGGATCCCACACTTGGTTTTGCTCTCCTGCCCAGCCTCGCACCAAGCGTGGCTGTGATCTGCACCCTCATCTGTTGTACCATGGCTTTCAGATGAGGATACAACCTCTGTGTTAAGCAGTGGGAGGCTTGTAAACGTGTGTTTATTTATTTATTTTCTTTTAAAGAAAGGGAATTTTGTTTTCTGTAGTTTAATTTGTTGAGCACAAGGGTTGGGTGTTCCTGCTGCTCTTGAATGAAAAGAAAAGCAGTAACGCCCTGCCCAACCCCAACCTGGTCTTGCAGATCTTGGTTAAAACGATGATCCGGAAGCGATCCTTTGGGAACCCGTTCGAGGGCAGCCGGCGGGAGGAGCGCTCGTTGTCCGCCCCTGGGAACCTGCTGCCGTAAGTGTGGGACACCCACAGCCTGCCCTGCACCCCGGCCAGGATGTTAACACGTGCTCTGTCTGACCACAGCTCCTTTGTGGGGTCTGGGGGAAGCTGGGGTTTGTGGTTTCGAGCATCCCTGACCCTCCTCTGGGGTGCAAAGCTTCTTTTCCCGGTGCTTCCAGCCTGTCACCAGGAAGCTGGGTTGGGGGGAACGTGGTCAGGGTCATGAAGGCTCTGTGGTGGGGACAGTGCAGGTGCTGGTGTCACTTTCTGTTTTGTCCCAGATGCTCAGCAGGGGTTAGGTGGCTCCTCTGGAAACTCGTCCTGCCCAGAGGTGACTTGTCCTCAGCCCAGGTGACCCCCGCTGCCCTTAAACACTGCCCACAGCTCCCAAAATGTGAGACAAGGCTCAGTTTGCCTCTTTTCTCAGCCATGTTTTCTTCCTCCACACTGGAACGGGCAGCACATTTTGTTACCCCTCTGGAGCAGGGTCGGGATATTTCTGGGTCCCCCCCATCTGCCCATGGGGCCACTTTTTCCTGCGGTCCTAAGGGAGGGGGACTGCCAGGAGCACTGGGAGCTCCAGCCTGGCTCCGGTGCCTGCCCAGTCCTCCAGACACCCACAAAACAACACGCAGGGAGCAGAGGCAGCTTTCTCCTCCCTCTGTCCTCACCCTGCCCCAAACAAATTGCGGTGGAGGAGGCTTAAACCGCTTGCCGTCCTTTTAAAGCAGGAAGCAAGGCAGTGAAGATAACCTGAAATGCAACGACTTGCCCAACGTGGGAGAGGAGGAAGTCCTTTCGTGAACGGCCGCTTTACGGTTCTGTTGAGCAACTCGGTCCGGGGCATGTTACAAAGCGTGCGGCTGAGGATGAGCGACATTAACAGAGCCCACACCAAACGCAGCATGACGCGGCGCTATTTCAGTGTAACGCTGGGTGTAGAGCTTCCATAGCAGCATGTTGTAAGACATCCGACTCCCGTATCCGTCATAACCATTGAACATCTCTGATTGCTTGGACCGCAGACTTCTCGTGGGGGAAAAAAAAAAAAGGTGCTGGCAGATCCCGGAGAGGTGAGCGATGGTGTTGAGCAGCAACAGCGCATTGCAAAAAAAAAAAAAAAAAGGCAGTCAAACAAAAAAAGCATTTGGAACTGCTTTTACCTGGTTTTTCATGCCAAAAAAATTTCCAGGCACTATCGCCAACGTCCCAGGGGTGTTGTATGCCCATCTCGTGCGCACGTGCAGAAGTGTGAAGCTTTTGCAGAGCGGCATGCGCGACAGCAAAACAACGCTCACGCACTTGGAGGGTTCACGACCTGCCAGAAATGTTGCATCTATTCCTCGTCGTCCTGTTTTGGTTTTAATTGACACCTTTTTAACTGCATGAGAACAAAGCAAAACCCACCTTTTCAGCTTTTTTTATTTATTTTAAGAATGCCTACCTTTGTGAGCCGAGTTGTATTAAACAGCATCTACAGGATGTTCAGAAAGTGAGGCTAATTGCAGCGTTTGAGGACGCTGCCTCTCCTGAGGTCTTGGTGTTGGTGGGACTGCCAAGGGGTAAGTTCAATACTCAGTGTATGAAAGGAAAAGGTACTTAAGGGCTTAAGTTCAGTCTGAACTATTTTTGCTGCAGACATAAGAGTGAAAGGTGGTGTTTAGCTGAATGTTTTGAACAGCAGAGGAAGCACTAAAAAAAGTTTTGTTTCTAAATCTTTTACTTGATCTAGATAGCTATACTAGTAACTATAAAATTCAGGGTAAAATCCTTCACTTCCATGTACATTACATGGTTTACTACAATTAAAAATAATACAACTTATGCTATTTTTTAAGTATAGACTTAGGGCTTGCTTAGACTTTAAGATCTTAACGAAATACATAGATTAGCTAGTAATTTTCAAAGAAACCTTTGTTTTCCAAACTCTTCATTTGGATTTTGGGGCCAATGCTGTGTACTTTTTGCAAGTTCGTTACCAGTAATTTGTGAATGCCTGTGGATCAGAGACTTGTTAGTAAATTAAGTGTATATCTAATTCATGGATTGTTTCTTATGAAGAGCTCCTTCACCTGCAGTCAGATTTCTCTGATCATTTTTGTGGTGCTTGTTGAAAAAAAAAAAATAATCGTGTAGTGGGAGAGACTCTGGCTTCTGGACTCATGTTCACAAGGTCTCTGTGCTCGGACAAAGCTGGAGAGCGGCAGCGTGTAGGTGAGCTGGCGGAGATCAGGGTTTGGCTGAGCAAAGGGGTCCGGGTAAGTACGGCTGGGCTGTGGCTGGAGCATGGGGCCAGGAGGAGAAGGTACTTTAGGAAACTGAAGTGTTAGGAGTGGTGGGATGGCTGACTGCTGACCCCATCACAGCTGCCCCGTTGTAGGCTTTTAGGACGTGACTGTTCCCTTGTCTTCCGTCACTTGGGCGCTGCTGGCAGCAGAGTGCTGAGGCTCTTGGCTGCGGTGGGACCTGGCCCAGTAAGTTCTGGCTCTGACGGGTCCTTGTTGAAGTCGGGTGGTGTTAGTGAGCGCACAGGTGCCTACACAAACTGCCCCGTATGTCTTTTGATCACCTGAAGCGATGCTCCCCGAAGGTCGCAATTCGTTACCGAAAGATTGTGCTGCTGGCCTCTCCAAAACCAGTGCCTCTGGTTTGTGGTTTGGGAACAGTATGGTGGATTTGGGAGCCATAAGATGCACTGTTTTCCTCCCATTTTTTGTCCAAGGCTATGCCAAAGCCCTGCAGCTTCAGCTTTGGAAAAACCAAACAAGTAACTTGGGTGCCAGCACTACTACCACTGCCTCCTCCCCTTTCTCTGAACAGAATTTGTTCATCGTGGAAACGATGACTGGGAGTGGGCATCTTGGTTCTATAACCTTGTAAATGGACTTATTCTGAGGGAAAAAAAAAAAAAAAAAGAAAAAGAAAAAAAGGGATCTGATTACTTGTAGCTGGTGTGTAGTGATGTGTGTGGTGTGTTTTTGTTAGAGGTGGGTGAGCTGTAGCGATGCTCCACGCTGAGCATCTCCAGCTGGTGATTTGGCAGGTGCCTAGCAAGACAGTTTAAATTCACCAAACAGGATTGCCAGGTGCAATGCAGCTTCTGAACAGAACCTCCACCAGTTCCTTGGTGCCCAGTCACAGTTACTGGGATTCAGATGCTAGCATAGATCAGTCTTATGGACAGTGTGGGCTTGGTTCGTACAGATCTTAAGGCTCAGCACTTCCCGAAGGTGCTCTGCAAAAGGCTTGGATCTTAGTGCCAGCTCTGGTAAGGCTGCAGCCAAATGCACGTTTCCAAAAGAAACTCGATGTAGATTTTCTTGTTGATTCGTTCTGTTGAAAGCGTAAAGCTTGGGTGTGTGAGGAAGATGTATCTCAATGCATGACCTGTTAGAAAGCAGTACTGTATGTTTCAATCTGCCCAGTTCCCTGTCTGCTGTTCCTTAGTAATAAAGCTTGCTTTTTTCTTATAGTGAAGTAAACATTTTGCTTGTGCCTTGGAACTGGGCTACAGCTTGATTTCCCCAATTCCCCTCCTTTCAAGCAAGCCCAGTGCTGACTGTGGGGTTAATGCTGGGTACGAAGCCTTTTGGGCTCTGAAAGCACACACAGGAAAGTGCTATGGGGAAACCGGGCCTCTTGTGCTGAGTAGTTTTCTTGGTGGTCCCCTCTTACCTATCAGGCAACTGATCTGTTTCTTTTTTAGAGTCCTGAATATTGGCAAATTTTTATACTGTTTGTTTAATGACCAAGGCTTGTGTTTCATTCCTACCCCTTTATTATGCATTTAACTTTATCAGGTGTATCAAGTTTAAATACTGTGTATTTACCACTTTTAAATTATATTACCGAAGAAGAAAACAACTAAGTGTTTTTCCACACAGCTGTTCAAGCTTCTCTGTACAAGTTGAAATAAATGACATGCAACCACACCCTGAATTAGTTGATCAAGGGGAACCGTTATCCTGTTTGACTGGTCTTTATCAAACAGATTTTGCTGGTTGAAAAAGGAGTCTGAAAGCTCCTTCCTATGTTACTGAAGTCTGGTGCTGTACCATTACTTGGGATCTTGGGCAAGGAGGAGACAATGTGAATTATTTGTGGGCTATTCGTGTGCACAGACTGGAGAGCTGACTCTTGGCAAGACACCATTTGAGTTGTTATTCTCAGCTTGGTGCTCAGAGCAGCAGCAGGCAAATCAAGAATGAAATAAAACCAAAACCCAGCTTGCAGGACGCCAAGAGGGTTGATAGAAGTTAACATTTTATTAAAAAAGAAAGCAAATTTTAGCACAGTGGCACAAACAGAAAATAGAACTTGTAACCAGTAAACCACGTACCATAGCACAAGGGAATGGGGCACTGCTTTATCTCAGTTGATGGCCACTAGAGCCTGGGGACAATTAAATAGAAGGAAGTCTCACCTAAACATCACCATCCCTCATGGTGAGGAGAAGTGACCTGATAACTACTCTCCTAAGGTTAGGCAACACATGCCAGGAGCCACATTTACTGTAAGGAAGAGCCTTTGCTGCTCTCTGCTACCACTGAGCTCAGGGAAAGGAGGACTGTTGAAATGACAGTGACATTATCCCAAGCTCATCTGGGCAGAGATCTGGCACAAAACCACGAGGCTTTGTATGTGCTTAGTGCAGTTCACCTGGAAAGGACAGATCCAGTTCTCCTCTCTGGGGGTTGGTTCTGGCTAGCAAAAGGTGGTGGGTAGTGAAGAACATCCCTTTCTTAGGTTTGTTCCCCCCTTCCTTCCAAGGAAGAGAGGGGCAGGTCTCACAGCAGGGTCAGGGAAACATTCACAGCGTCAGTTCACAGCAGCAGCTGGTGCTGCAGCAGCAGGAGATCAGGAGTCGGTTCCGTAGGTCTCGCCATCTCCCTGCAAAGACCAGAGATTACGTTTATCTGCCAGAGAACTGTTCTTCCACTTCCTCTCACACAAACCCCTCTCTGCACAGGCGATCTACTCTCTGCTACTGGATTCAGACTTTACAGTGCCAGTGGCAGCAGGTCTTTTGACTCAGAACGCCTCCTTTTTGGCACTGCCCACCAAGCACAGGGCTGCAGAGCACAGCTCTGCCCTCAGCACCAGCCAAGGAACCCCACCAGAGGCAAGAGGAGGGCTAAGTCCTACTGGCCTGATGGATCCTTTAGCTCCTGAAGGGGAGTGGAACTGGCCATCAGCAGCCTGGTTTCAGAAAACACCTGCCCAGGGGCTGTGTTTGCTTGCAGCAGCAGGAACCTCCAAAGGCTTTGGGGGGATTTAAAAGCAGCAGAACTGTCTGCAGCTTGTGGGAGGCAACTGCCAAGGACGGCAACCCAGAAGAGAGATGCAGTGGGAGCTCAAGTTCTTGAACATACACTTCCCTCTCTGAGAGTGGTTGCCCAGGAAACACAACAGTATTTTTTTCTAGTGCTTCTCCCCACAACAGCTCTGAAGTAAAAATGAGCTGCTCTGAGGACAAAGTTTCCTCACAGCTGTGGTACAAAGCCTGTGTTTGATGTGGACTTTGTACATCCTGTTTCAGAATGCTTCCTCCTCTGATTCCAAAGGCGTCTCGCCATGCCTTCATTGATGCTTACCATCTCATAATCCTCCACATATTTGTATTTCTTCTCCCGATAGTAGTATTTCTTCTTCATGCAGTTCAGGACAACAAGGTCGCATAGCACTGTAGCCTAGTGGAGATTGGAAGAATTTAAGGCAATGATCCTCAGAACTCAGCTGCTAACCCAGAATTCAGTCCTAGCGCAGTCACTTACCACTCCGAACAGCGCTAAGCCAGAGCCAATGTTAATCATTGTAGGAATTACATCAAACTTTCCTGCCTGGAAGACAGTTACAAGGCTAAATATGTTTTTTCTGTATCTCTGAAAGCCCTCACCTCACAACCTCCATGAAGTTGCCCTACCTTTCCAAACACTATGATATCAAAGCGGATTCCATAGGCTTTGACAAGTGTCCGCGATTCAACGCCACTACTATCCTTGTAGTATTTTGCAAACCTAAAAAAAAAAAAAAAGGTAGGTCAGAGCTTAGCTGGAAACGTTGAGGATCCTTATGTGATCTTCATGCAGCATCCAGGTGTGTTCCCCATCCCAAAAGGATGGGCTAAACACTTGTACTGCCACAGATTAGTTTACATGCAAGCAAGCACATACAGGAGAAAAGCCCAGAAGAGGCAAGTTTAAAACTGCAGTTAGCACCAGCCCAGTCAGGAGACTTCTAAAGGATAGAGAAAGGAGGAAGTTAGGTGAGCAGAAGGACAGATGGGGAGAAATTCAGCTACACATGAGAATCAGACCCTCACAGAGGCAAGCAGGAGGCTGCAGGAGCACAGCAGCCACAAGAGGGCAGGGCCGGGAGCAGGCAGCGCGGGAGGCAGCAAAGCTCACAGCTCAGCTCGGCACACGAAGGCGGTTCCTTGTCCCACACAACGTGACTCGCACGCAAATGACACGGAAAAGGAATATGAACAAATAAGTGAGATTAGACTTACTCTGTCACATGGTTCACTAAGCCAGGAGGAAGCACAGAAGAGGGTAGAAGAGAACAGGAAGGATTGGTAAGGGCAGGCACCATGGTCTGCAATTAGCAAGAGCATCTCAGAGCCTGCACCAGCTGTGCCGCGATATCCTCCAGCCTGAATCATCTGACACCCCAATACTTGCAGGCCTGGCACCTCCCAAACACAGACATGCTCTGTGTGCATGGCAGCAGCCTCCCACCACACCATGAAACAATCCTCGGCTCCTGTCTGAGTGACTGCAGGCCCAAGTTCACGGCCCTGGCTGGCAGCAAATTCACACAAGTTCTACCAAAATTGATTCCCTCTGCTAACTGAGCTGGTGACTCCAGAAACGAGGAAACTGCTCAGGGCTTGGCTCATGACCAGGACAGTTGCAGGGATCTTGGCAAGGTGGGTGGCCGATCCGTACCATAGCTCTGAGCCTGGATGCAACCAGCTGCCCAGCTTTGCACTCAAACTGCTTTACTGGTGGTACTGAACCCACCCATAGCAACCAGCACCTGTACGTGGTGGTGTACACCAGAAGGATGTTCCTGGTGCAGATCTGGTCTCTGACTGACAGAGACACCTTCTAGAGGCTAGTTTTTCCCTCACCTTGTACAGTGAAGGAGGCCCTTCAGCCTCCCAACCCCGTGCTCCCTGCCCCTTACATCTCACAGCACCAAAGAAAACCTCCAAGCAAGTTTTACAGCATCAGAGGAAGTCCAAGGACCAGCTGCAACTGCCAGAGGAGCACAGGCAGCCTGCAACACTGTGCCAATGGCAGGCGGAGCCACAGGCACAGCAGGGTCCCTTCCATTGCCACGTTACCTGAAGTTGTACCCAGGTGAGACGGTGTGGGCAGTGTCCTTGTTGTCAAGGCGCCGGAAGGAATATTTTGGCACGCAGTAGGAAGCAGCTCTGTCAAGGTTGCAGTCCCAGTTGATCTGCAGCCCCATGACTCCACCCTGCAGAGCAGAGGAGAGGAGCTGGTGAGCAGTCCAAGAGCCTGAGTAGCCTAGCACAGGGCTCTGGGCTGAGCAGGACCCTGATCACTGGCTCATGATGCACGCCCAGTCTTCCCCACTGCTACAGGAGAACATAGCCCCACCCAAGGCACCCAAGGCCAAATATTGCTAAGTAGAGCTGACTCTGCTCCCTCTGGCCAGGGCAGCTCTCCGTTTTGCAGCTAATGCATGTCCCATGGCTCATGCCACCAGGCGGGGGGGATGATTACTTACTGCTCCTATCCTACATACCCAAAAGGTCTGCCAAATACCTCCACAGCCATCTCCTGGAAGTTCTGCCCTGCAGCTTCAACTATTTTCCCTAGGCGAAAGATAGGGCAGAAGGGATCTGTCTTGGAGTCATAGATGCAGTTCTTGAGGTAAGTGGAGTTGATAGTGGGGAGGATGTTTCGTCTATAGGGGAACAGAGAGAGGAGATCTGTTGCATCTTCTTCCAGTTGTCCAGCTCCCCTTTACTGTCCAGGAGGCCAGGCAGCAAAACGCCTTGCACACTACTTACTTGGTGAAGTTGAATTTGGGATACCAAATATTGTTCTTCACCAGAATGGTGAAGTTCTCGGCTCCTTGCAGAAATGCTGGCCTGCAAAACAACAGAAAAAAGTAAATAAGTTTCATTTATATTTTCACAAACAAGGTCTTCATCACTGCAGGGCCTTTGATGATAACCTCTTTAGCTTTTCCCAATAGTAATGCGTAAGGAAACATCATTGGTTGTGGCAGAAACCAGCTGTGTACTGCTGGCCTCCTCTCAGGAGGGCCACCACAGAGTAAGAAGACAGAGCTCTCACTTGGGTACGTGATAGTCATCCTCCACAGGACACCATGCAAAGACTTCACAGGTCTTGATGCTGTCGTTGTAATTTACACATTTCCCAGTTTGGATGCCTGGAAAGACAAGCACATGGAGACACTCCCAAGGAAAAGTAAAGAGGTAGTATTTGCCCTGTGATGTCTCCTCACTCTTTAAGGTGAAAGCAGTCTGCTCGGAAGGGAAGTGCCACTGTCTAATCCTCATTATTTTCCATTGCAACTTGTAGTACAATTTCAGAGAAAGAAGCATTTTCCAAGTCAAATCCTCATCTATGCATGTGAAACTGCTTCATGGACTTCAGGTCTTGAAAAAACTCTCACACTGTTTACTAACTCACCAAAGCACACATCCATCCAGTATCCACCCAATGCAGTTAAGCCCATCTGCTCTTCCCTGGAAGAAAAATGTGAGCTTCCTTTTCAGTTCTCTTAGGTAGGAAAGAATGAGAACAAGGAGACTCAAGCGGAATGCTGCTTCCTTCACAGGAGAGTGGGCACAGCACAGAGATATCACAACACAGAATGAAAGAGCCCTTGCAGCAAGTTTCCTACCATTGCTGTGGGTGCTGACATATCCTGGAACACAGCTGTTGTTCTTGCTGCACTCTGTTTTATCATCTGGAAGCTGGACAGGAACAACAATTAAACAAAACTCCAAAACCATCCCTCCCCACACCACGTAGGATTAAAGCAGACCCTGTACCTACCTCTGGACATTGGCCCTGGGTCTGGTTTAGTGTGAATATCATGTTGGTCATGACAAACACGCTGTTCTCTTCCTGAGCATGCAAAGCAAGAAGGAAATTTAAGAGTGACAATACTATGCAATAGTATATCCACGGCACTGCCCCAAATGTCAAAATGTCTTTACTGACAAAGCTGAGATGGTCCTGCAGAGGGGGCTTGTTAAAGGAGCAAGATCCCACGAGTATCGCCTGATACCACTGCCTTTGGGCAGAGGAAGGAATGTGGGACTAGCAACCCCTTCTGTCCTCCCACTTAGCCCCTCCTTTACAATATGAAAACAGATCACAAAGCTATTCTGGGAGTTACAAGGCATGACCAGGAATAAAAATCCAGCTGCAAGCTTGTTCACAACTCTCACTTTTTTTTTTCAGTATATCTACTGAATATTTGACCAGTCTTGGTTTGTTTCTGCAGTGAACACCACCTCCATTACTTTCAGATCTATATGAGTTGGGATCTGTTCTTTCCTCCTGCTCCATTAATATGCAAATACGATCACTCAGCCAAAAACTGGCTGAATACTATCACTTTCTGCACCACAACTGATGCAGACAGAGTGACCCACAACTAGCAGCTTGGCCACGTCTGCCAGCCCTGAAGGCCACATACTTCCCACACAGCGCAGATTCCTGCAGACACACCGCCAATCAGTAACTACAGCAATACCTCCTGTTCAGTTCCGGATCAGATGAGTGGCAGGCTATTCCTTGGGCTTCTGCCAACAAATTATCTTTGAATTGTTTGCCTTTGAGAGTAAGAGGGAGGATGTGGTTATTGCCACAACTTTTTCCTGAAGTCTGCAAAATTCTCCTTCATATGCATACACACACACACACACACACTTTGCTTGAAACAAGCTTCCTAATCTGCTTTATTTGCTACATTCTCTTGTATAAAGGCTATGCTGCAGCAAAAGCTGTTCCAGACCTCATTGGATTTTGGCAGAGCAGCAGCTGTTTCTTAGAAAACCCACCGTCTGCATGTGAAATGATTCATACCTGAGGAGGGATGACATAGTCAGCTACATCCCAGACCCTGGCTCCCAAGGAGGATGTGTTTGTCAGCGTTACTCCTTTCACCTTTGTGGTTACAGAACTGACCACAGAGTCTGTTTCCTGGTAGCCCTTCTCCCACACAAAGACCCAGCTGCAAGATAGAGATTGCAAGAAAAAAATAAAGAAATCAAACCACACAGCACACAACAGAAAACAGCTAAACATCATAAATTAGCACAGGCAGTGGGAATTTCACCTTTTTCCATGTGTAACCTGAAAAGGCAGGTCCATATAATTTCACAGTGTTTTGCTACAAAAGTCACAGGATCAGCCATCTCCCTTCTGTTTTTTTTTTTAAGTGGTTTGTCAGTGTCTCATTACTGCATAATTGTATGTACGTCCTCCCACTCCCACAGGTGAACATCAGTTCACAAGAGGGGAAACATCACAGGGCTCTGACATGGTCTCCACTACAATCACCAAGCAAACGTCACTTTGACTCGGGGCAGTCAGGATAGCCCTTTATGCTGTATAGGTTGTGGGTCAGGCCCTTTGGCTCTGGTCCACACCATCTATTTTTGGCTTTTTATTTAGGTATTAAACAAGAATAGGATGAAGTTTCCTTTCACCAGCTGTGTGCAGGAACGAGAAAGAGACAGAGAGTGCACTGCAGAAACCCCCTGTTAGTGAGAGGTGTAAGGATGCAAGAAAGCAACTCTCAGGATAACCAGTTCATGACTTTTCCCAACTACATGCCTTAAATAATTACAGTTTTCAGGTTTCCACTGGCACTTACTGTAAAAGCTATACACTCACATGCTTTGCTGCCAGTGAAGGATCCATCTCCTCAAAAAGCATTTCAGGACAACCGGGAATTAGGTTAACTTTTACAGCTTACACTGATATTTCATATATTCTCAGACTGCAGCAGTCCACACACAAAGCACAATCTTTGCTCCTGTGACCAGGAAGGGCTGCCCTGTTTTTTCCTTGCTCCTAGGAATGGGGCCACACCACAGGAGTAATTCCTGTCAGTAAAACATTGACCTGCTGCCTCTCTCTCATGGCGGGCTGTCCACCACCTGGTTGTCAGATCTTTCCTCACAACACAGCACTCTTTGCCTCGTGTGAGCTTTTATATGTTATAAAATGCTACCTGTGACCTGGCAACAGGTAGGAGGGCAAGCCACCAACCCCTCTCCAAACTTTACGCCATTTACGTCCTTCTGAATAGTGATTTGAAGCAGCCAAGACCCAGTTACCGTCACCCACAGGCACACATCTGCCCTATTCCTGGAGCTCACCCCACATTTCTTCCCCCAGAACGCCTCTATCCCACACATTTCTTCCCCCAAAACGCCCCTATCCCACACGCTCCCTCTCCTCAGGCACGACCCCAGCCCTCCCCTCAGCTCCCCGGGGGTCGCTTCCCGCCCCTCAGCGCCTCCCTGACAGAACTGGGGACCGGGCAGCCGCCGGCTCCTTCCCCTCAGCCCCGGGGAGCCTCCGCCTTTGGGGCAGCCCCAGACCGACCCCTGCTGCCCCCTCAGCCCCTCGAGGAGCCTCCCGCCCTCCTCCCTCACAGCAGCCCGCCTCCCTCAACGCCCAAGCCCCCAGCTCACCCGATCACGTAGGCGAGGATGGCGAGCTGCACCCCGCGGTTGACGAGCCCCACTTTGCGGCTGCGGATCAGGACGATGCGGGGGGTGTCATACTCGAAGAGAAAACTCTGCACGGCCCCGCACCACACCATGGCGCCGGTCGGGAAGGACGGGCGGGCTGCCCGCCGCCCTCCGGCCCCACACGGCGGGCAGAGGCCGCCGCCGCCCCGCCGCGGAGCCACAGCGCCCCGAGCAGCCCGGAGAGCGCCGCGGCAGCCCCCGGGGCTCGGAGCGGCTCCCGGCGCTTCCCCAGCTCCTTCCCCCTCCGTTCTCCACAAATTGCCTGCCAGCCGCCCCTGCGGCCTCTCCCCGGGCTGTTTTCGGCAGGGTTTAGGGAGTGGTCCGCGGCCCTGAGCCCTGTGGGGCGCCCCGGGATGAGCCGGGGCAAGGCTCTGCCCACAGGCTCCCCTCAGCTATCCCGGCAGGGCAGCGGGGGTGGCCTGGGGCCTAAAAATCCGTGTTAAAAGAAAGAACCGGGCACTTGTGGGTCCTGATTTTTTTTTTTTTTTTTTTTTTTTGCTGGTTTGTTTGTTTTTCCACACTCCTCGTTGTTAGCAAGGTTATGGGGAAAGAAAGTAGCAGGCAAAGAATTAGATGAAGAGAGCTCACCAAGTGGCAGTGGGGTTTTCAGACATTGCAAAATCATTGAAGAGATTCTAACTCAACTAGTAAAAACGCTCTGTTTATTACAAAGCCAGTTAAAAGTGACAGGAGAAGGGGCAAGAGGGAGCGTTAAAGAAAAACATACATGAGAAAAGTGAAAAGAACTTAAAAATCACAGTTTTAAGTGAATATCCATTGTAATTCTTCCAAAAGGAAAGATAGCGCACGTGTCAGAACAGGAATGCATTCATGCCAACTGTAATCTTTTCTCACTCTAGATATATAAAATGATGCAATGTGAATGTTAATACAATTAATGTATATTACAACTGAAGATAGAAATACAGCTGACAATCTCCCAGCCATATATCTCAAAATGTATGTTGGGAATTGAAACGGCAAACTGCTGGTTTAGCTCAGAGAGAACAAAGCTTAGTTGAAAGGAGTGCAAAATATACACGTTACAATCCTTCTCACCCTGTTTCTACAAAAATAGAACATGGCCAAGTACAACAAAAAGAAAGAACTGAAAAGGTGTTGGAGCACAGATTAATCTACCCTAAATTTGCTGTTCCTTGGCTGTGGCCTTATGCATCACTGTAAAAAGCAACTTGCACTGTGCTGCATGCAGTAGGAGGAGGTGTAGGAGGCAAGGCCTGTTAGAAGCTAAGAGCAAACAGGAGGACAAAGACTAACATTAAAATTCAATGAATATGAATGAAATGCCTGAAAATATTAGACAAAGATGGTAAAAGTACTTTCCACTGTAATTCCCGGTTTAAGGTAAAAGGACCAATACAAAGAGAACAGCTGGGCTTTTCAGAAAATGCTTTCTCTGTGCCACTGAAATCTAAAATAAGCCTGTTTAATCTGGACAGACTGTCAGGCCTTTAACAGTGAGTTATGAAAATGCATACTCACTGGCTTCTTTCCAGAACCTCTGATCCAGAGCTGCAGCAAGGTGGTGAGGCTAGGGGAGAGAAATGCTCAGGACTACATCTTCAACTGATCTCTCTTTTGGGCTTCCTTCTTTCAGGGGTCATGCTTTTAGATGGTTCTTGGCTCCATCTTATTTTCAGGGTGCTGGTCATCTCCTCACTCATCTGGGAGTCTGGCACACTCCAAAGCAAAGACAGGAGACCTGGAACCTCTCACTAAAATGTAGCCCTAAGAGCTCACCCCAGAGGCTACATTTCTAAACCACACAGGGTGAGTCACAGAGCAAAACAAAGGGAGAAGTACATACTTTAGCTCAAGGTACTTGTTCCTCTAAGACAAGCAGTAGGCAACAGTCCCTCTCTAATGATAATATACAAAAATTCAGCTGCACAGCAAAGATTTTGGGATGTCACACACTTTCTTTTTCTTCTTCTTTTACACATATAAAAAAAAAATAAAAAAATCCTATGAAAGAAATCAAAGGTTAAATGCCCAAGGTAAGCCACTGCATGAGCTCAAGTTGTGCTGCTTCCTCATTCTATCTTAAAACCAGTATAGTTGCCATCTGCTTTGGGATAAGTACTTCTAATCACCCCTCTGCAGCAACTTGGGATGACAGCTCTGTCTTCCAACTCAAAAGAGCCAAAACGCCAGTGAACATACTGCTTGTAAGCAGCATGACGCAGCTGATTGCTGGTATTGTCACCTTGCAGGTCCAGAAAGGGGTCTTCGTAGAGAAGGGCTTTATTCAGGGTTTCTCTGGACAGCACCAGCTTCTTAAACCAATAGGTGGTTGTGATGCACGGCCCATCTGTGCTGCGGCAGCAGAGCTGCTCGTGGAACTTCTGCGTCAGATTGCATTGGCCACAGCAGCACCACTTGGGGCACTTCGGAGAACGGGTGCTTTGCATTAGACAACTAAGCTGAGATTCTTCAGTGTCATGGTTCTCATTGGGCTCCTTGGTGAAGAAGCTGCAAGGATCACTGAATTTCACAGGGTGATTCTGCAAAGCAATTCCCAACATAAATTAGATGATAAAGCATTGCTGCTGTTTCATCCATCTGCAGAGAGAATTTACAACAGTGATCCTCACCACTGGGTCTTTCGTTTGACACAGCACAATAAGTATAATGATGATAGATCAGCAGATCTGGAGGAGGATTATCTTTCTGTGTTGCCAACGCCCACCCTTGCAAAATCGAATTGACACCTTACAAGTTGTTTCAACACCACCACACTCCCACTAGCACATGCCCACTACAGGAAAGCAGCAGTTTTTAGCTGACTCTAGAAAATACATCCTCTGGTCACAGGACTTACTAACTTTAGGGGGGCAATACAAATCCATTTTTAGTCACTCAGGATCTAATCTAGAAATATGGGGAAGGGGAAATCCAAATCAGTTTGAAATGACATTCCTTAGTTCTCCTTTCTGAAGAGGGAATCCCGAAGGTTAAGTGTCTGCCTTTACCTCAAAAATGCTGCCTTCAGCATCCTGCAAGCTTGTTTTCAGAGGCCTCTTTATCAAAATAACATGTGGCTTATCAACATAGGACACAAGCATCACCTGTAGAGCAGAAGAAATTAGCACTGTCAGCTGGAATAGTTACCTAGAAAGCTGGGGATATAGCACAGTTTTGCAGTCTGTATGCCGACAACAGTTCCCTGCAACTGTGTGCTGCAAGAGTAGATGTATCCCAGTATCTGGGATAGCAAGGACAGGGGCAGCAGCAGGGACTGACAAAGCTAAGGGGAAGAGAGGTTATGGAACTAACTGTAGCTAACTGCAGGAGTGCAGTTGTGCAGGCCCTTTATGTGGAGAGTTCATCTTTGCCTTTCATTAAAAAACATTTGTCTAAAATGCTGGGGAATTAGTAGGTGTACCCAAGAGTAATAACTGGTAATGCCTTGAAAAAGAGGAAGAGGAAATTCAGGTTGGCAGGGAAGAGCCTTTGAGCAAAGCCCTCTTTGTAGATAACCCTTCTGCGACCTCCTTCCCCTACTTTAAAGGGTCACTACTCCCAGCGTGTTTCTCTGATAGAGATGGTGTTGCTCTGCTCTGCCAATGATCTATGTGCAGAGCCCACTGCAGCCATGCAGTGCACAGCTCCATGGAAGCTACCTGGAGATTCTCTGGCATGAAAAGGAGGAGGCAGTTCCCTTTGCCAACTCCTTTATGCACTGGATCCCGCAATCCCTCTCACAAAAATCTCTGATCTCCTAAATCCACAACTGCAGGCTGCACACAGCGTGCAGAAGAACAAAGCCCAAGCAGTGAAGCAGGAATGAACCACACAGCAATTACAAAGGGTTTGATCTGTGGCATTTGTGTGTCTACTGAACAGCAATTTGCATTCTTTACCTGTTTTGGCTCCAGCACAGTCTCATACTTCTTCCTGATTATATTATCACAGAATTGTATTTTCCAGCAGCCGGAGCAATTGTATAAGGAAAACAAGATTTCAATGGCAGTAAAAGCCTGCATAAGAAAGAAAAGCAAGTAGTGATTCCACTTTTTTAATGAGACTGGAGTTCTCCAGAACTGGCTCTATTAACACAAAAAACAAGTCTCTCACCAAACCAAAATAGGTGATTGTGGATCCAATGAATGTGAAGAGTTCAACACTTCTAAATTTTCCACCCTAAAGGAAGCATAAAAGAATATCTGGGTAGCAAGATCTATAACCACTCACTCATCTGAATGCCATTTCTCTTTTTGTCCTTTTACAATGATTCATCCATCCAATCCTAAGATTACATAAACTATCTCTAACACTTTGCAGGGGAAAATAAACAATTTGAGAGGGAAACAGCGGTGACACACAAGGTTCACACAAGGTTCATGATAGACAAGATACCTGTTATTCTTTGTCTAAACAACAATCCTGTCTCTCTCAACCCTGCTATGTCATTCTCAGCTTTGTTCTCCTATGCCAGCTGAGTTTAGATCGACTAATCTGACAGGACTTCCATTCCAGAAGGATGGACAGAAGAGGGGAAAGGGGAATATGGCAGACGCAGGGCTAAAGAAATAGTAAGTTTTCTTCTCTCCTCCCTCCACAAAGAAAAACAATTGCATTTACTGTGCCAAAGACGAGGATATCAAACCGTATTCCATAGGCTCTGAAAAGTGTTCGCTGCTCCTTTCCATTTTCTCGCTTGTAGTACCTTGCAAATCTGCAAAAGAACAAATGAAGATCAGTGTGGCTTCCCTAGGGAATACAATGATACAAAAGTGCAGAACACAAAAGGGGGCATAGTTTCTTTTGCCTTCTTTCTTACAGCCTTCTGAAATGCTGGAAGAAGCATTCAGGAACAGTTCATGAAGCCAGCTTCATCGCTGGCAGTCTAAATTAAATTAATACACATGTATGTAGAGATTTAAGCAAATTAAAAATCTAGCTAATGTCCAAGGAGTGTTTTGCTGTCACCATTCAAATCAGAACCTAAAGCTACAGAGGGAAGTTCAACTATGGGTAAAGCAGTTAGAAAACCCTAGCAAGAATATATGAGGAACTGGCAATGGCAAAATTGCCCATGTTCTTAAGTCTTTTAATGCTACATTTTCCACTACCTGCTCTGAACTCCTGAGGACACTTCAGCATGCTGGATTATCACTCATTTCCAACTCCTTAAGCAGCAGAGAGTGCCAAGAATCACATTGGCCTTTATGAACTTCCAGTTTCTTATTTTATCAACAACACGACCCTCCTGATGCACAGCTCACATCAGCTTATGGATAAATAAACAGTCACAGAGCATGCAACAATGAGATCTTTTTCAAGCCTGACAATGAAAAGCTGGCAGTACAGACAAAATCATTACATTAAACTGAAAGACTTACTAAAACACACAATGGCACTAATTCTCAGCTACTGAAAACAATACCGTATGTCTTTTGCCTCAGACTTGCTGTCAGGATTTAAAATGCTGTGTTGTTCTTGACTGGTTTACTTGAGTGATCTCTATATCCTCTTCTCCTTCATTTAGATAAATAATTTGAATTGCAATTTGCTGAGCTAAAGGGCTGCAAGGTTAGTTCCGTGGGTGTCAGATACTCACAGATCATTCTGTCATTGTTAATCAAAGTTTGTTTTTATAGTTGGCTGCCTGTTCTACTACAAGAAGAGTAACTGTGTTTAAGAGGATTATGTCTAGCATAAATACTATCAGCTCAGCCTTCTGATTTCCAGTGTCTTGGTTTACTCATTCAGATTATAGAGACATCTAAAAAAGAAATACTTTTTCCTCCTTTCTTTACTCTTTGGGTTCAGTCCCTGCAGCTCTGCTTTGCCATCTTGATGCTAACGAACCAGCCCAGAGCAAGCTTTTACTTGATTCCATTCTGTATTTCGCATTCCCTTTGCATTCTACTCCAAGCTAAGTTTGTCAGACTTTTAGACTACTCTTAATCAGTTTCCTAGATCATTTGCTTCTCATTCACAGAGATACAATTTAAAATCCTCTGAAGGAAAGTCACTCAGAAAAACACAGCATAATGTGTTCTGCTTTCTTCTTACTTGCACAGATATGAAATACCCTTTTTGCTTGTGCTGAATGGTTCCAAAGTCTGTGACCAATGCATGTTTTACCAGCCAGCTCTTAGCCTCCAAAGCTTGCAGGTCATTTAGGCTTTATTTTAAAGTTTTCCTAACTGTTTTCAGGATCAGAGGTTTTCTCTAGCCCCCATGGTAGAGGTTATTTCATATTTCTTCTTGATGGCATACAAGCTTTCTTCTCTGTAACAGCTTTGTGCTCAGAGATGACCTGTTGGGAGCTTTCTTGACCACTGTCTGAAGCTTTGCTCCCTTGCACCTCAAGTAGTTATTTTCTTTCAGAAGGCTTACATCTTCCCATTCAAGTCTATCACAAAATTTCCTCTGGAACTGGGCTAAAAGCAATAGGACTCCATGCAGACAGGTTATAACCTGCCTAGAGTCCCCATCTGGACTGCAGGGGAAGCAGCATTCTATAACCTGTTTCTTAGGGTCTTTTCAAAGTTTTCTTCTGCTACTGATCTCTGCTAGCTTTGGGATGCTGGGCTGGATGGACCTCTTGTCTGATAGTATGTTACATTCTTATGAAATGCCACACTGATGAATAAAAGTTTTATTGAAATATATTTATTGTAGGATCATTTCCTTTGGGTAATTCTACTGAAATCAGCAGCCGTTTATACAGGTTTGCATACACCAGCTCAACACTGTGGCAGAGTTTGTGCACATTCTTCCCTGAAACACCCATGGCTGTTTTAATGGTATTATGTTCAAACTATTCATCATCCTTCAACTTTCACTGTTTTCACTTTTTGAATTGCTGCACAGACCTACTCTCCACCTCTTTTTTAAATTTTGCAGACATCAGAGAAAGGTTTTCTTTTGCCAATAAAACCCCTTGATTAACAGCTGCAGAATCAGGCCATCTGGATGTTGTCTGGTATCCTGTACACTCTCCCAGCAGGCTTGCCTGTGTTCTCAGATGAAGCTCACTTCCTGAGTACTAGAGTTTTACTTCCTTTCAGCACACATTTCAACTGCACCACAGCAAAATAATCTTTCCACTGGTATTTTGATGCTTAAAAAACAGGATTTCGGGCAAACCCATTCTTGGCATTTTGACCCTAGCTGTTAATCTGATACTAATATCCTCAAAACTACTCCAGTCTTCCTCCAAAAGCCTAAGAAATCCCCTTTGCCTGCAGAAGTCTATTGAATAGAAACATTGCTGGCCTCAGCCTTGTAGAACTGTCCCACTTTTAACTTGTGTTCTCCCCCATCTCCTGTCTGTGGTTGTCAGCTCTGAGGGAACACCTATTTGTTCCTTGTTTGCACAGCTCCAGCAGAACTCAGCTTTGACGTATATTGGCAGCTCTTTGACAGCTCAGACACTCATGCTAGCATCACCGACGTATGAAAACCCACGATAATAACCAAAGTCAAAAAGTGCCGTTACACAAAAATTTTGTCCTAGATCTGAGGGATAACTTCAATTTTAAACACGCTGATATGCATTTGATAAATTGTGTAACTATTTAGAACTAGAGTCACAACAAGATTTTTTGTCTGAATTTCTCGTAGGTCTGCTGTATGAACACAGAACCAAATGCTCTAATTTACTTTTAAATAAATCTTGATTCAGTGAACTGTAGGGTTACCCAGATGTTAGCAAAACATTTTATTTTATTTTATTGCCTTAGGAAACTCACAAATTTAGGTAGTTTAAAGCTTCAATTGCCATATGGTGGAAGCTGCCCAAACTATTTTCTGTGTTAGTTCCCAGAACACTTGTGGAAAATTTCTAGGCCTTTCAACACAGAAATAAAACCTCCTACCATACAACCATGCTCATCTGGAAAATGACCATGATGATACAACTGCAGTAAGGACATGAAGTTAAGTTAAGGACATGAGTACTGAAGCAAAGCAGAATCAAATATTCAGTTGTTCCAAGCTGTCATTCTCCACACCTCATCACATCTTCGCTTCAACTCAGAAAACACCTTACTTGCTTCATCTAACATTTTTTACCTGTAGCTGAATCCAGGGTATTGGGTTCTTGTTTTGCCATCAAGGCGGCGGAAACCATACTCTGGACTGCAGTAGTAAGACCAGCTGTCTAAGTTACAGTCCCATTTAATCTCAATGGCAATTACTCCTCCCTAGAAACAGAAAAAGTAAGTGTGAGGACTAGTGTGATTGCTGCCTTTGCTGAACTTTTTAATGCCAAACATAAGCCACTATTTGTGCCAGTCCGACTTTTGGACAGTTTTTTCCTGAAGCAACATGATTTATGATGTGCTTTGGTAGAATTGAAAGGTGATCATGTGTGACAGCCTTATACAAGGCCTATTTAAATGAAAGGTGGTACAAGGGCCTCTACAAGTTACAGTAATACAAACCAAATAGTATCAACTCTGTCAACGCGGGTTTCATTCTGTGAGATGATTAACACATTTATTTTTTAAAATGTGAGGTTATGTTGGTTCTCAAACAACCTGTTTCTAAACCAAGAACAATTCCATTATATGGCAGACAGGAAAATATGCAGGAAGAAAAAGAAAGAAAAGTTTTCACACCGAGCATAACAAAGAAAGTAGTATCACAGACCTTTACTGCCACCTCTGAAAAGTTCTCTTTTGCTTCCTGAAGGATATCTCCCAGACGGAATATTGGACAGAGAGGGGAAGTTATCTTGTTGAATGTGCAGGAAGAATTGAAATTTGGTGAAATATTTTGTCTGTGAAGAACACATAGAGTTGTTTAAAATTAAAAACAAAAGCTGGAGCAGCTATAAATACAGCTAAGGGCCTTCACTTTTACTAGAAGCTGTGTTAAACGTGCTCAGATTGTACTTACATGAGCTTTTGTTTTCACATCTACCAGATCTATATTTCCCTAAGAGAGATCTACAAATCAAGATGAATTCTTTACTCTTTGAATATATCACAGGCAAAATTTACCTGAGTAAACTAAATATTTTTCACTTTATAATCTGGACCACACAACTGTTACATTGTACTTTAGTCGTTTTAGCCCAACATAAACCAGTATATCTGAACGAGCGATTTTATTGTTCTGTGCCTGGGAGGCTGTGATCCCAAGCTCATCTATTTCTCTCGGTTCCTGAAGAATTAATAGGACTAAAGACTTAACAGCTGTTGCTCATGCAGATAAAGCCCTGAAGACAGCCTTTCTGAGTAAAGAAGGTGCCAATTTACACAATCCTTTCTTTAGAGCACAACCACTCACTCTTCAGAAAGCATTTGGGAATGTTTGCACTTACACGGTGTAATTAAATTTTGGGAAGTGAACGTTGTTCTTTATTAGCACTGTGAAGTCTTCAGAACTCCTCAGAACTGCAGGCCTAGAAGAGAAACATCAAATGAAGTAACTTCTTGTACTTAAATGCATCAATTAATGCTATGCTAATTTATTACCTGGAACATTGTCAGTAGGCAGAATACTTTGCTGAGAAAGAGATTGAAAAGCAGAGTTAAGTGACTCAGGGAACCAAGAAAGATAAAGGTCATTCTCTTAGTTTTAGATATAAATTGTTCTCTCCCTCTTGCTTGTGTGGGCTGAGCCTAAATGTGTGCTACATGCAGCTAAAATATGAGCTCACAAGACTTCTCGTATAACTCTTGCTACAGAATAGTAGTAAGAGCATATACCATTTGACAGCTGATTATTTCTGCACAATGACAAAGGCAGTTTCATTGCTGGTCCCTGCAGACAGGTGGCCATTTATGCCAGAGCTGCACAGCTAGTAAGAATATAAGAATGAGACATGCTCTTATTCCTAGAGGATGTCTCTGGAAGTCAGGCATCAATCACATCATCAAAGGCTGTTCTGCCTTTCTAGAAGATAGCGGTTTGAGGGCTTACCCTGCAGACTGTGGGGAGACAGTGGTTTGTGTCACTAAATATGTTGGTGAACTGCAAACACCATGGGAAGCAGGCTGCCAGTCCTACCCTTCCTCAAAAGTCATTTATCTGAAGCTAATGTGGCAGGAAAGAAGGCACTTTCCTACAAATTGCCAGCTGAGTTAACCTTGGCCTAGATTGCATGAGACAATCTCTGCTACACCCCAGGACTTGCCTGGGCTATAGAAGAGAAACAGATGCAATTTTTAGCTATATATGTCGTGCACCGGGACAGCGCTGGACTGGAATATTCACACAGCTCTGTTTTGAAAATGAGTCAGGAAAATTTTAATTTTCATCAGGACACCCATTCCAAGGGGTGTAAACAGTCTTCAAAGCAGTCATCCATATCAAGGACAGTGCTTCTAAGCATGCAGTATTTTTCCTATCATTGCACTTTGAGCAATGCCTCTGCATCAGAGATCTGTGATGACTAGAAGCACATTAGTTGTGTGACAGTTTCCATGAAGGACATCTCAGAGCATCTCCTAAACAAAGTCAATGAATGAGAGACATGGCTGCAAACCAATTTAATACTTGCAGATACTATCTGGACATAAAAGCTTCTGAAGAATTTCAGTGTATAACAGTCAAGACATGAATAATGTATGTTAACCGTTAAAGAGCTAAAAATGAATGAACCTATAATGTGGGAGTGTCTGCAACTCATCCACTGGGAGGCATCTGAAATCTGATCCAAAGATCTTCTGGAAAACGTGGTGTAAACACCTATCCTTGGGCCAGCTAATCTGACAGCTGTGCCCTGTTTGAGGCAGAAATGAACAATCAAAAATAAAAGAATCTTCTTGCCAAAATGCAATAGCTTTGTTTGGCTCCTTTGTTCAGCTCCAGCCATAACTAACGGGAAGGAAAAGGAGTACTCCTGTATAGCTCATGAAACTTATCTTTCAAAAGAATTTGGACAATAAAGACAATCATGGGTGTAACCAAAACCCAACATTTCTCCCTCAGTATCTCAACCAGACGGCAAAACTTCCTGGGCTCTGACCTTTCTCTTATATATTGTTCTGGTAGCAAACAAACACTCAGCTTTGCTATTTAGCAATTCCTCCTTTTTTCCTTGCCAATGAAAATTGTGAAGGAACATTTTACATCAGAGGTTTGGATCAAACCTCTCATCCATTATTTTTGGTCCTTGGTAGTGATCAACTACTGGCACTGTAGAGGACGATTAGGAAACAAGACAGAATGCGTCAACTGTGCAATGTAATAAACGACAAAATTCCCTTTGGAACACACGGCAGTAAGCCTACACAACACGACATTTGGAAATGACTGGCAGTCACTGAGACTTTATCAAAAAAACCCTAAGATTCCAATAGCTCAGGAAGCTCATGCATATCTTTCCAGGATGCTGTATGAACAGTAATATCCTTCCTGTTTCTGGGCAAAGCCTTTTTTCAGATCACAGCTCTGTCTGCAAAAGTAATGGCACTTCCTTTAAAGAGCTGAAAAAATCTCAAAGTTGCTGCAGGAAGTGTTGTGAGCCCTGGATGGAACCTGGCAGTAGAAAAACTTCTCAGTCTCTGACATAAAGAAAAGATGGGATATATACACAGAATCGTGCTTGTTATCTTTTAAAAGCAGTGAGTTAATGGAAGTGGTAATTGACCTGGTTTCTTACATGTATATTTCAAAAGCTGGTTGAGAGAAGCTAAAACTGATTAGTCATCCACTCTTAAGTCTTAGAGTGTAATTTCCAGCATCTCTGTAGAAATCAAAATGATTATACAATTTCTTCATGCTTTGGCTGATATAGAAAGAAAATGGACCAGTTTCTTCTTGGAACACTGCACACTTATGCGATTACAGAGAAAGATGGCCACAGGTCTCCTCCATTCCACTCTCTGGGTCACAGCAACATCGTTCCCCAGAGTCTTTTTCCTCCAGTTTTCTTCAGCTCACTATTACGTATTGCCAGCATTGAGGTTTTCATCACCTGTCTAGAAGGATGAAGATGCTGTTCTTCAGTCTGGAGAGGACCCCCAAATGCTACTGTGCAGCACAGACAACCAATCCAGTACTACTGTTCTGAGTGGTGGAAGCAACCTTGCTGTGGTAAATGCACCCATAAGGAGCTTCTACACCTTAAAGCACTGAGCCTGGCAGAAGAGAACCCCAAGTCAGGAAACCTATCTCACACTTGCCTTGACATTTGAATTCATGATCTAAATGCCTCTAGTGAACTCAAAATGCGCCTATGACATCTAAAATTGTTTTTGTGGAAGCTGCATGATGTTACAAACTGGAGGCTTCGGTTTTACTGCACAATCAGTAGGACAATTGTAGAAGGAATTCATTTAAATAGAGTAAGCATTAACAGTATGGCTATGAAGAAAATACCTGTTTTACAAGAGATCTGTACATGCCTGAGCAAAGTGATTATCCTAAAATTGTATGACTCTGTCAAAGCAAATCCTTTTTTTTGACAAAAAAAAAAAAAGGTAGATTTTTTACTTACACAGGGGGGGTTTCCTCCATTGGCACAGGGCACCATGCCGTGACCTCACAGGTTTTAAGAGTTTCATTATACTGCACACATCTTCCTGTTTGAACTCCTGTAGAGAAAGCATTTCTCATTCAGCAAACACAAGAGTTTTGCACCATATAGAGAGTTTCTACATGGCAGTGGATTCCTCCTCAAATGTAAAGCAGAGGTTTTGACATTATAAATTCTTGCAGCTTTCTGTTCAGGATAAAATCATGGTCCTGCCACACATCATCAATCCTTATTTAGCCCTTTACTTGGGTCAACAATGCTTGCTATTGTTTGGACTGAGGATGAAGTACTTTCCTGCAAAGTTTTCCATTAAGTTACATATCTGAGTCTTGGTATAAACTGAGAAATTAGCCGTTTCAGTCAACTGAATCAATTAACAATCAATTAAACAATTAACAAGTTTAATTCAACAACATAAGCAAATTAAACAAGGATATAAAGGTAAGCAGAAAAACTTAATTCTTTCTACGTTCCTGGAGAGTCAGCATTTTTTGTGAGTGCCCTGTCTTTACCAGCTAAAGCACTAATTCAGCCAGAAGCCTGAATTCAGGAATCCCAGCACTACAAAGAACTCACATAGCTGATGAAAACTCTAAGATGTCTTCTGGACAACTAGCCCTCAAAAAAGGACAGATGTCATTGTCTCATTCTGAGAACTAATTATCATGGGGATGTTACAGACCCTTCAAAAAGATCCTGTAGCCACTCCCCTTGCTGAGCAGTCATGGACTTCAATGGGAGTGACTGGAGTCTGGCCTTAATTCACATCACGGTCTGCACTCCTCTTCACATTTGCCCTTCCTCTGCTCCCTTTCACTGTTTCTCTTTTTAGAAAGGGCATATAGAAAATGGTAAGAACTCTGTTTTGTCGTTTCAAAAACAGGTTATCAGATATCTCTCAGGATTCTGTATTGTTCTACTGCAATTCTTCTCCAAGTTGGAACTTGTACGTTCTGCACTGGTCAATAATGCAACAGAAGGTAGTACCCACGAACAATATTTCAATCTGAAAATGCCATTTACCTACCATTACTGTGGACATATGCACTCCCGTTTTCACAGGACTTGTCTGTAGAGCAGATAGCTTTGGCAAAGGGAGCCTGAAAAAATGACAGAAAAGAGCAACATAAATATATTCCTCTCCATACCTATGTAAAAAGTCTTTCTTAACTTCAATGCAAAAATAGTAAATAATAAGAAAATAATGCAGAGGAAGTATAATCCTTATTTATTATTATGCTTATAACAAGCACAAGGCTAAGCTAGCTGAAAAAAAAAAAGAGGAAAACAATATTTTTCTCACTTATAATAACACTTTCCTTTATTATGTCCTTTCCTGTTTTTTGTACTCTTTTCTGTACTACTAGGTGCAATAGATCTCATACTGGACTATTTCTTTGTTTACTAACAGCTCCATAAACTTTTGCCAGTGAAAGTTAACTTGTGTTTAGGAACTATACTGCAAAGTCCCACTTCTAGGCCAGCCAGATGAATGAAGAGGAGAGCTGCAGCTGACTACCACATTTGGGCTAGAGAAAGGAAGGAAGGGAACACGTAGGAATGAGCACCATACCAGCAGAGAAGCTGATAGCACTTCTCTAACTCCATCACCCCTTCAGGTTTTTCTCAAGACCAGCAGCAAAGCCAGAGAAGCTGCACTGGCCTGAATGTCACCACTGCCTGAAAGCGATGCATGTATGTTTGGCAAAGTCATTGCTACAAGGCAAAGTCACAACTGACAACTGAATCCCCAAGAAACACCAGAGTAGAGGAAAGAAATGGAGCAATTAAAATAGATTTTGCATGCTTTCTGTTGAGATACAAGCATTAAAAGCAGCAGTATTTGCTTGCACAGGATGGTCCCAAGGACAGTCCACTCTTTTACATCAACATTAATGTGTGCTCCTAACTACTGTCTATTTGTATTCAATACCATCATCCTAAATATACATTACAAAATATATATATATATACATTTACCTCAGGGCATCTGCTTTGAATCTGGTTTTCTGTCTGAATGACGTTGGTCATCACGAAAAAAGAGTCTCTTGACTACATGGAGAAGAGAAAATGAATCTACATGAAATTTCACAGACTTTTTTCAGACCTCAGTCACTCCAGAGCATTACCTGGAAGGACAGTGAGGCTGTTTCTGCTCTACCACCCCCCAACAGACATTAAAGTTCAATCTGGCTTAAACAGGAAAAGCCAGGGACATCATCAGGGCATAAATGAGCAACCAGGGCAAAAAGGCCCCGATTTTGTATTTTTTAATCTGGCATTGCAGCCAAGAAAAACATGCTGGCACTAACTAGTAATGATACTACTGTGTTTAGTACCACTATACTGGAATAAATCTTTTGATTTTGTAAAAATTCATAACAAATAGCATCACAGAATTATCATAAAAGAGGATAATCTTTTCCCTTGTACCGGGGAAGAAAGGGTAGATTTGGTTTGGTAGACTGCTGTCTCACATGTAAAGTCTCCTTTAATGTTGCTGCTCATTCCAGGAGAGACATACCAGGAAAAAACAAAAAACAACAACAACAAAAAAAACAGATGCACTAACAGAAGTTGAATATTATGCTGACATTAAATTAAGACTTGCCTGCATTGGTATGGCATATTCTGCTGTATCCCAGATCCTGCTGACTGCATGAGCCACTCCCTTCACACTAGTGCGAACTGAGCTGGTAACTTCTTCCTTCTCCTGATAGCGCTTGTCAGCGATGAGGGTGTAACTGGCCAGATTAAACAGAAAGAACAGGTACACTCATAAAAATAAAATTGGGTCAGTTTTTTTTTGTATCATTTTTGGACAAAATGCACTGCAAGATAAAGTCAAGCATTTTCAAGTAACTGAGAGCCGTTTGGTGTGAGACTGATGCATCATCTGGGCCAAAGTTTCCCTTGGATTCACCTTTGCAATGTTCAGCTTTGTCAGGAATGAGTTCAAATACACACAGAGAATTTCTGTTTTCACTGCTTAAATGCTATAGACAGCATTAGGTCACATCCTGGTTCTTCAGATGCCATTTGTGAAACACCAACTAACTGCAAGGGGGCTTAACGTCATCCAAAAACTTTTGCCCATGGTGCATTACTCTACTTAGACTTTGATCTTTTGTGTCACAAACAGTAGTGTCCTCTCTATATTTGGGATTTATATTTTTTTGGGGGGGTGGAGAGCTTAAAATACTTAGTCTTTAACTTTCCAGAGTGAGTACTCTTGCATGTCATTCTGATTGCTTTAAAAATCTTGTCCTAATGCTTTTACTTCCTCGTGCATTGTGTGTGTTAATAATAGAAAGTCATCTCTGTTTTTATGCTGACAGGGAAGTCATTTCACTCATCTAATTCATGAAAGAACTGTCAACTTTGAAAACTACTGTATGTTCAGAAGGTACTTTCCACTCTACATAAAAGTACCATAAAAGGCTTTATTTGACAAACAAACTGGCTGCATAGCCACAGGAGCCAGCACCATTTCAGTTTAACAACAGACTCTTCTGGAGGGGATAAAAGTTTCTGAAGGACAGAAACTGAAAGCAACTGATCAATGCTCCTTCATTTATAGTGTCTATTATAACAGTGTTTCAGCCTTTTCCTTCAGGAGAATGGTACTTTGGGATAATCGTGTGTTTGGAAATTGGCAGTAGGAGCCCAGGTCTGAGCAGCAGTAGGTGCCTGCATTTCCTGCCAAATTGATTCTTACTGAGATTGCGATCAGTGTGCTCAATGTTCTGGCCTGTTGCCCTCCCATAAGAAAGAAACCAACCATCTAAATTTGCAGACTTTGTTCAGCAAAGACTTATCACTGAAAACAGCCCTACTTTGGGAGCAAAGAGGAAAATCTGCCCTTTAGAGGCAATCAATTACTGCATATTCCTAGAACACCTTATTGTTCTTGAAATCTGCTTCAAGGGCTAATTGGCTATTTCATCTGTTAGGTGTATCTAACCCTAGATAGGAGACTCTGGAACAAGATCTAATCTCAGAAACACTGGTGTAAATCTGAGATTTTTAGTGCAGGTAGTGTGGTTTTAACAGAACAAAAATGAGAACCACACAGCAATAAATGAAACTGAAAGCATTTGTTAGTAGAAACCCAGCTCTGTCCTAGTAACCCCACCCTGTTAAGTAACCTCCTGTGCCCAACTCCCACCACCAGGTTCCCACTGCCACATCCATCTTCCAAGAACAGCCCAACACCAAAACAATGGTCTTGAGTTGCTGCCACAGAACTCAAAGCACTGAAAACCACGTTGCAAGCCAGACAACCTGCGAAACAAGCAACATTTCTTAGTGTACAACACCATGTCCCATCACCCTGCACTTACCAAATATATATGGCAATAACTACATAAATGAACCACTTTGCACATACACATCCAACGCTCCGAAAGCGGATTGATTTTGGAGAGTCATAGTGAAATGGATCCTTCAGACAGCCGCACGAGACCATTGCTGACACTTCCTTTGAGAATGAAATTTCTAACAGCTGCAACTGGTTGGTGCTGTCTTTTTCCACTACTTCTCAAGCCACACCACTTAAAGGCACAGGCAGAGACCTATGTGAGTACCGGGGTTCCCCAGGCCTTCTACAGAAAGGCAGGTAGTGGATCAAGGACTGATATTAACCGCAACTAATATAAAGAAATGGCAGACAGGATGCCAAACACCTTCTTTACCTGTCCAGAGAAGGAAAAGGACAAATTAACCTGTTTTAGTTTTATAAAATAAGGCGAATTCCACTAAAAAGTAGCCTGACTCAGCCTGTTGACAGAAAAACAAGCTCATTGCAGCCACCCACGTTTATGTACGACAAAGACAGTTTTGAGAGAGGGAAGATTTTTTGAATTCCCTTCAACTGAGTACCCCTAGTGTAAATTTATAAATTCAGACTTTTTTCAAAGAGAAAAGTCAAAATGCCAGATGCATTAATGCTGCTAGTATGGTCCCCAGCTAGCCCAGCTTTCTACAGTTAAAAAGTTCTGGTTTGGAAAAAAATGAGAGAATTTCCTGCTAAGTTCTCAAGTCCTACTTGTTCAATGTCTGGGGGAGAATTTCCTTTTACTGAATCAATCCAGACATCAAGCCTGACTTTGAAAGCTCCGTGAAGCAGTAAATACTTTCAAGCCCCTGACCTGACTTGAAGAAGGATGGGAAGCTTTTATATTGCTTAAAAGGCTTGATTCTTCTGTGTGAATTCAACACTTTTTTTTTTTTTTTTTTTTCAAAACGCTTCAGCAGGAACAGGATTAGGGTTCACATTAAATTTGGAACGAGTACCGTGGATCAAACCGCGGGACTGTTAGCACAGGACACTTATTTTGTCTCCAAGAATGGCCATAAATAGATGCCTAGGGAAGAACGTAAGGACCAAGAAAGCAAAAAAATGATTCTTCCAAATAGTTTCCCAGTCTGTTTGCAACTCAAGGACACCCTTAGTCAGATATAATTATTATTTTTTTTATATTCAGTAACCTTTAATAAATCCCCCTTCCATTAACTTATCCAGTCTTCCAGGTAAAATTTTAGCATCTTCAAATCCCTCTAGTAAGTATTTGCACAGCTAACTGCACATAGCCTGAAGAGTCACAACCGTTGATTTGTTTAGAGAAGGAGCACTGAATTTCACCCTAGAGCTCCAAAGCTGATTGCTAGCACTGCTTGTCACCTTCTGCCAACAGCACCATCCCTCTGCCACCTGCAAACAGCACCACCAGCACTCAATCTTTCTGCTCCTCTGAAATCCCATAGACCAAAGGCCTTAAAACACAGTGAAATGGGAAAATGGAAGCTCACTAGTTTCTACCATGGAATTACTGTGCAGCCTTCCTCACATCAAATCCTCTTCCAGTGTGCCTTACTCAACATCTTTAAAATGAGCTGATCATTTACTTCCCACTTCTTTGGCAAGTTGTGGGTACATCACTAGCTCTGGTTTACATGAGGAACTGGGTGGCCTCAGTCACCACAAAAGAACCTTGCTGGGTGTCCCTTGTCCACATAGGCAAGGGGGAAGCTGAGAGCTACAGGAGCATTAAGGCAGAAGCAGCAGCTCAGACGGTGAGTCTCTGCACTGGGAGACAGCAGTACAGAAAGGTCAGGAGGCTCCTGGCCATGCTCCTCCCACTCCAGAGGTGTATTCCAGGCACCAGTGCAGCTCTTCTCCTCAACAACCATATCAATAGGCATTTGCAAAAATAAACTGGGTTCTGGTTGCACCAGGAGCTGAGCACTGCACTGTGAATTATGCTGCTTGGCTTTCCAGGAGAGGGCACTGCTACATCAACGCGCAGGCCAGCACCTCACTGGAGTCTCCTTGTGCCTTGTATGTCAACAGCCTTGCAACCCTTGCTCTCAGCATCTCCCACAGTGAGCGACACTCTTGCAAGCAGATGCTTTGCCTGAAGCTGGGGCAACTGTAGAGATCAATCTAAAAGGACTGAAACCTGCACGATGTTGGCCTCCTTAGCCTGACTCCCCACCTCCCAACACTTTACATCAGTGCAAAGAAGGTGCCATATGCTTCCAGACTGGACAGATGCAGATGACTTTCATTTCACATTATTTCACAATGATGACACAAGGAGTAGAGCAACAATAAAGCAAGCTTTGGGGACATCAGTGGCCACAAAGATTTTCAGCTTTTTTACCTCAGTTTGCATGGGACACAGTCCTGTTTGGTCTCGGGATAGTTTTGTGTCAGGTAGGATTAAAAACAAGTTCAGCTAGCTGACCAAGTCCCTACTCTGATTGAAGGCAACACAAAGTATGCAGTTTGGCTCCAGCTTCTGATACGCCGTAGTTCCATGCACAAGCTGCTCAATGTGCTGCAAGCCAGCTACTGGCATCTGGCTCAGGGGCTCAAGGAGCAGGTGTGAGGCTACCATCTGATGCTGTAAACACAGGAGAAGGAGCTGTAAAGAAGTAGAGCTGTTGAGGTGGGACCTGTAAATCTCATTTTCAGAGTCAGAGAAAAGAAGACTGGATCAGAATATATTAGACTCAGATTAATAGGACTAGGTTCCTTCCTCTTGTAACAGAAGACCCACACAGAGGCACAAAATGTATAAAATCTGCAGAACAGATATATTTCTTTGTTTGTTAGTTTGTTTGTTGTTTTCCCCAATCTTTTACTATTTTAAATCACCTAGGATGCTATGGCTGTAGTTGTGATTAACTATTCAGAACCAGTTTTTTTTAGCTGTTAGAATTGTCTTAAATGCTTTTAGCACACAGGAAGAGGTCACATTCTGACCACAAATATGCTTGATTGTTTGAGACATCAGTGATCATCCTTATGCTTTTGCTGACCACAATCCATACCGCTACACTTGATATTAGTGACTTCAGCAAGCAAAATCCTGCTATGTACTAACAACTGCCAAAGCTGCAACTGGGAGGAACTAGAAACAGACCTGGGATGCATTTAAGTGCTAGAATAGCCAGAAACAAATTTATTTTTAATATAAGCCAGTCAGACCTAACTGTACGTATAAAAAACACAATAGCTATAATAAAAGAAAAAAAAAAAACAAACAAGAGGACCTGGATTGCATAAGACATGCTGCAGTAATTGGTGTCTTCACTTCCTAAATGCTCTCATTTTCACATTAACGTCTTCCATCTGTTTGGGATCTGAACTCAGCAGCTCGGCCGGATGCATTCATCTTCTTGTCCATGGATGTTCCCATATAAGGTGATCTCTCTTTGCCTGTGGAGCACGATTTCAATTTGCTCAGGTTTCGTTCGTCTCTGATTTGCTGGCCTCTATGGTCGAGCTCCTCTTGCAGTTTTGTAAGGCAGTCATCCACACAACAGTAGCTATAAAGGGAGGAGAAAGTAATGAAGATGTGCCTCCAGATCTAAAAAGACCTAGATAGCTTATTTTGCTCCATTCTCTTTCTTCTGCACACTGCCTCTGCATGATACCCTTTTAATAAGCAGTTTCCATAAGCCTTTTCCATTCAGTATAAAACATGAGCCCTATCCAGAGAACTGGACAGAACTCTAGGGCAGCACCGTTGTAACAACTCACTATTTATTAGAAAACTTTGTTTCAAATTCTGTATAACTCTCCATGCAAACTAACTTGGGAATTTGGAAAATGCCTGCAGAATTGTACAACAAATATGTATGAACACTGGCCTTCAATTCTGTGAGACCTGATCCAGGCATCGCATCACCTCAATTAAGATCCGAGTTCATGGATTTTCACCACAACAGTGATACAATCTCATGACCTTTTTTTTTTCTTATTGTTGTGTTTTCTAATTTTCAAACATCCTTCCTCTTCTTTGTCATCTCTGTAACACTAAGGAGACATACAAAGAGGGGAACTGTCCTTTATTTCTTAGAAGGTGCGAGGAATGGAAGACTTAACAAGAATCAGAGCAGCACCCTCCCACCGTGCCCAGCCCAGATCCAGATCCCTCTCGCCGCCCTTGGCGCTGAAGGCACAATCCATTTTCTCCCCTGTACTGAAACAAGGATGTGTTTCTGTATTTGCAGAAACATGGCATTTTTCCAGCATTAAGGAAGTACTGCCCAGGATCCGTGGGTCTGCCACTTCCTATTACCTTTCTGTGCAGTCTACAGGGAGCAGAACTGGTCCCCAGTGCCTCCATGGGAAATACCCTTCTCATTTGCTCCCTCTGTGTATTCTATATGCTCAAAATACTCATCAGAAGAAAAGCGTAACTGATACCAGGAAAGCATGACAAGGGAAAGTAGATCTCTTCTGGGAACTTGTAGGTAGATACGATTCCTAAAGGTCAGTATACAGCCTGAAAGCACAGAGGAAACATGATCTGGTTTTTAAAGTTCAAATCCAGGCAGTCAGGAGACTCGGATTATGTTCCTGGCTTTCATGCGCAATCAAAAGCTCCTCATCCATCCCCTCTGTGACGGAGTTTATCCAGTTAAAAGCTAGGACAGCAATGTAGTGTCACTTTTCAGGCTCTCAGAGAAGATCAGTAAATTAGGATTTTATGAAGCATTTTATATTCCTCAGAAAGAAGAAAGGAGCTAATCTAAGATAGACGCAGTACTTAGAATTGCAAAGCGTTACATTTATGATTGCTATTTACTGAATAAAATTCCGCAGTGATTTACAACCTGTGCATTTCAATTGGCACCAATTTAATATGACTCACTGCATATTTTACTCCATCATCTGTGGACTCACGTGGGTTTCTAAGACAATCCAAAAAGCTAATTGTAGTAGCAGAGGCTCCAAAATCCACCTATTTAAGGTCTAAATGTGATTTTTGAAGGATCTGCAATTAAAAAAATGTGCAAATTGGAGATACCACTTTCATGAACAAGCTCCGGAGTCTATTTTTGATTGTTTGGTATTTTTGAAGCGCCTGTCCTCGTTCAGATGTGGTATTGCTCACACTGACTGTGTGCTTATTGCTCTGCTGAGGCACACTAGCAACCCAAGGACATAATTTGCCATTCCCCCCTCACGAAGCGCCCCATTTTCCACACAGATCCCCCGTGCTT